TCCCACATATAAAGTAGAGGAAGATGGGCACGGATGTTAGCTCAGGGCCAGGCTTCCTCAGCAAAAAGAGGAGGATTGGCAGCACGTGTTAGCTCAGGGCTAACCTCCCCCCCCAAACAAAACAAAACAAAACAAAAAAACACGAGTTTATATTTTGAAATGGTTTTTATAGCTTAGACTTTGTATGTACAGCCTGTCATACTTGTGACAGTTGTTATGACTTTATTTTATATCCAGCAGCCAAGCCTACAATAAAACTTTAAACCATCGGAAAAAAAATGTGGGAGTGTACAACACAAGGACATTATTACCAGAAGGCATGATTCATTGGGAGCCACCTATCTAACAGTCTATCACACTGACCCATTCATTCATTCAGCAACCTCTTATAGAACACCCAGGCCCCTAGGGATATAATAATGATCAGGACAAAATCCTTGGCATCGAGGAGACTACCTCATGCATTTGAGGGGTCTGGGTAGGGAGAAGGTGGCAGGAATCTGCATCCTTAACAAGCGCACTAGGTAATTCTGACACGCCTAATGTTTGAGAACTTCTGCCTTAAGCCTTTATCTACTAATATTCTAACTGGATTACTTGACTATAAGCAGAGAACTAAGATTTGGGAGAAAAGGGCACTAACAAGTCACAAGCCAGATTTCTCTGCTTTCAGTTTTGCCACAGTTTTGTCAAGTCCTAGAAAGATAGAGATTCCAGCATCCCCATAGCCTAGAGGTTCTCAAAGTGTGGTCCCCACCAGCAGTATCAGCATCACCTGAGAACTTATTAGAAATGCAAATCCTCAGACCTCATCTACTAAACCAGAAATTCTGGGGTGGGGGCCTGGCAACCGGGGTTTTAACAAGTCCTCTAGGTGGTTCTGATGTAGGTAAAGTTTGAGAATCACTATGATGAGGATTTTTAGGCTGCTTAATTTTAAAACGGTTTATGATGAGGATTTTTAGGCTGGTTACTTTTAAAACTACAGATGAGAAGCAGGCTCCAAGGAGTGGAATTTGCTTGTCCCTTTGTTGGGAAAGATTTACATTTCTAAGGGAAACCTCTATCTGTGAAGATGCCTCCCTCTCTGTGCAAGGAAGAAGGGGGATGGCCTTATCTCTAGAAACTCAATGCCAGAGGCAAGAACTTAAGTTGGTTACCGTCTGGCAACCTAATGTAACTGACCCCGCCCCCCCCAATCCTCCTTTGTCTTTAGCTGAGGGTAATATTCAAGCGGTGACTTCTGCCATTTACTCAATCCGGTTTGATTCTTATCTAAAAGTTGTGGGACCGCCAAATGGCCGGACCCTATGGGCACTGATACCATTTTAACTTTTTTACGTATTCCTTTGTCTTGTAAAGAGATAACTCACATACCTATGCCTTAAATTTAGCCTTACTCTCCACCCAACTTTGCAGCAGAAGCAGCAGCAGCAACATGCCGGCAGCAGCTCTGCCTGCCCATGGTTCCTGTCCCCATGCCAGCGGTGGCAGCAGCAGCTCCCCATGCCAGCAGCATCTCTGACTGCCCGTGGGCCCTGTCCCCACGCAGCAGCCTGACTGCCCATGGGTCCTGTCCCCATGGCGGCAGCAGAAGCTCTGACTGCCCATGGGTCCTGTCCCCATGCTATTCTATTCTCTAAATAAAAGAGCATTACTGCCAGATCTTAAGAGTCTAAGAAATCTTTCTTTTGACTCCTTGGCTCACCGACCCGGCATCAGCTATATCTGTTACAAGTGCCACACTACATAAGGTGATACATAATTTTAGGTGGTTACACTTAGATTATTAACACATATGAGTGGATTCTCCAGGTTGCATGGGGAGGGGGGAAGGCTCCCCGTTTGGCTATTTTTATCAAGTATACTTAAATTCTTAATCTGTCTTTAACTCCCTCTGCTACTTTACGCAAATCACTACGCAAATCACTACGTTTGTCTGCCTAAATCATCCCAGTCCTGTAAAATAAAGTGCTGATGCTATTTATTGTAATCCTTTCCAGCACTAACTTTCCATTGTATGCGTTCCATATGCATATCAATCCATACCCACGCAATCATTACGATAGCAAGGAGAGATTAAGGAAAGGCTGGTTTTCCACATAGACTAGGCTAGAAACAAATTAGTCAGGCAAATATGAGAAAACCAAGAAGCATTACAGGACAAAAAACGATTTTCTAGGGAAACGTAGCCTTTCCGCTTACATAAATTCTCTGTAAATTAACAGGAAAAACTGGAGGAGGAATAAGGGAAACACCCACAGACTCTCCAAGGGTTGACTTCTTGCTCTACCAGTCAGAAATCATCACAGTGAGCTTTAGATGAGTCAAGCTACTTAAATCATTTGCATGAAGGACTTTGGTCTTTACCTCTGGGTTTCTTTGGTGCAAACAGACTTGTCGGTGAGACTGTGTCTCGCCTTTCAGGAACCATGCTGCTTGTAGAGCGCTTTCACAGGCATTACATCGTTTATGTCTCACATTAACCTGTCCACGTCAGTGACGTTTCCCGTTTTACAAACGAGCAAAAGGAAGCCGTGGAAGGAAACGAGTTACTCAAGGTGAGGAAGATGAAGTGTTGAAGGGCAGGGCCAAGATCAGATCAAGGTCCTCAGCTTTCCAATCTGGTGTTTCCTCCACTGCTTTGCCTTCAAATCTGGGATGAGCAGCAGGGAGATCAGCGTGCACCAGTATCCTACCTTCTTCCTTTTTATCCATTTTCCTTCCTAATTTTCCTCAGCTTCCATTCCCTCAGGCTGCTGTAAAAGGGCACTAGGCTTGATATCAAGAGATGGAAATTCGAGTTCTAGTTCTACCACAGAAGGCTGGCTGGTCCAGACAAGTCACTTACGAGCTCTGGGCCTCAGGGTATCCCATTGTTATTTCCAACTCTGCCTCAATTACAGTCTGAACAGTGGAATCAGCATATCTGTTGATTGATTTTTACATTTGTATAGATTTGAGTTTGCAGACTGTAGCTGAGGCTTAAAGAGATGATAAAGGGCAGGCAAACTGGAGCAATTCCAAAAGGATAAGAGAAAATAGATCTACAAGAGTGCGAGTAAATATTTAGGGTGTGGAGTTGAGGTGGCCTGAGCGGGACTCTTTCATTTAAAACCTTTCCCTTTGACCTTTCCAGATCTCTATGAGAGAGCTTAGATATGTGTGACTTCTGAAAGCTCAAATAATATCTTGACCTTTCCATTTTGTTTTTGGTGAAAGGAATGAGGATTTGGAATACAGACTGTTGTGGGAACCACAGAATCAATGCATTTTAAGAATCTCTCATGTACATCTAACCCTACTTATTCTGAAATGTCTGAATTCTGATCCCACTATACTGCGAAACAAATAATCTGCTGTCCTGTTGCAATCTGAGTCAAAAATATGCGAAAGTTCGAACGTGATCAGGGATTTTTTTTTAATGGATCAGTGTGGCAGGTGTGGTGGCTTTCTTTTACTGCCTGCTAGAGTCAAGGAAATCCTTATCTATATGATTCAATTAACATCTTTCACTGTATTTACAGGCAAATTAGCCTAGATCTTTTACATTTGCCTGTATGCCTGTCTGTGTCTTTTCCTCTTCCAAGAAATTCAGAAATACTGATTATCTGCACTCCAATCCTAAAGCAAACCAGTTGCTTAATAGTTACAAGTCCAGCATCTCCAGAAGCAGGCCTCATCTAGAACACCAGAGTCTGATTTCTGGACAGAGTAAAGGCAAATTTGCTTCCAGAGCAAGTGTGGTAAAACTATAAACACAGAGATGGACAAGTAAGGTGGTGTAGAGTAAGGCAAGAAGGGGAAAAAAGCAGAAATGATGTTCCAGAATACTGCGAGATTGGGGAAAGGGGTGGAAAGAAATGAAAGAGTGGGAATAGAATACTTCTGAAATTGATAGAGAGCATGGTGGTTTACAAAATCAATTTAGCCATTTTTCAACCAGCAGTTTGAAAAAACGATATGCAATAGGATAAAAAAATACAGAATGCATACCATGGAAGGATAAGTACTGTTTTGGAAACATTTTTCAATATATGTAAATATATATAAAATGCATTTATATATGTAACTATAATATGTAAATTATAAATAAATGCACGCGCACACGTGCGCACTTGCCCCGGGTTCTTTTGTAAACTATTTCTCACAGTGGGTCTTGGTCTAAAGTTTGAAAACCCCTGGAACATAGGATCCAAAAAGATCCTGGCAAGATAAATTCCAGGTCAAACGAGAGAGCCCCTTTTCTTTCCTTTGCAGTCCAGAGCAGTTAATGGAGGGAAAGGAAATGGCGTGTGAGGGAGGGGAGACCAGAGTGAGATCTAGGAAGCGCAAGGGCGCATCGGGACAGAGAAGTGCTGGGCGACTTCTGCTGGGATAGTTAATTGGGGGACCAGGGGAGGTTGATTTTGAGAGCTTCCCTTCCATGCTAAACAGAACGAACTTCACATTCCTTGTCCCAGAAAAGCCTACAAAGGCGAGGGATTCGCGTAGCTCCTGGAAGTGACAAGACACAGGGTCAGTCCCTGTAGAGGGGAGGATTATCGTGAGCGGGGAGCGGGCAAGTGGGCGGGGCGTGGGAAGCGCGGGAAGGCCAGGAGGGGTCGGTCGACTCACGCCGCGCTCTGCATAGCCCACCAGCGGAACAAGCAGTTGTGCACTTTGGAACCCATCCGCGGGCGGGAGCCCCAGGGCGCGGGTGGGGTTGTGCCCTTTCGGCCGGCCAGCGGCGTTCCCTGCCAACCTGCAGCACCCGCCTCCGCCCCGACCCTGCAGCAAGCTGACCGCGCCGCCGGGTCGCCGGGCCCCACGTGACCTGCAGCGCGGGCCCTTGCCCCCGTGACGTCTCACCGCCCTCGGGTTGTCGGAACGTTCCGCCTCTTTCCGCGTTAACTGATTGGCTGGCCCGGCAGACAGCGCCCCCCTCCCCCCCGCTACTCCCCCGGAGCCGTGGGGAACGCGGCTGGGGGCGGGGCCTGGGCCGGAGGGGCGGGGTGAGAAGGCTCGGCGCCCGTAAAGGGGCCGCCGGAGCGCGGCCGAACGTTCTGCCGGGCAGCGCCGCCTTGCCCTACCGACTCGCCGCTACCCCTCCCCTGCGCGCCGCCGTCACCCGGGAAACGGGCCGCGATTGCTCGCCGACCCGGAGCTGGTTTCATGGCAGCCACGAAGAAAGCAGTTTTGGGGCCGCTGGTGGGGGCGGTGGACCAGGGCACCAGCTCGACGCGCTTTTTGGTGAGCCGGGGGTGACATTTGAGGAGGAGCTGAGATGGGGCGGGAGCCCGGGGACGCCGGCGCTGGGTATCGCGTCCCCATCTCGCGCCTCCCCCGGCCCCGGGCCCCTGCCGTCAGGCAAGGGAAGGAGGCCAAGATCCCCGGAGCGGAACGGGACCTGCCACGCTGGAGCCGCCCCGCCCAGGCCTGGGGTACCTCGGCCTCTCGCGACCCCCGGAGGCCGAGCTGAGTAGCCCCGGCCTTAGCGGTGGAGCCGGGTCACCTACTAATGGGAGGACTCCTCCCCCAAAGGGAGCTAGGACTCGCCGAGCATCTGTGCAGAGCGGCCTGCCTGCAGCCGGGGACAGGTGGCCACATTGACCGCTGCTGCGGTCTTCCCCGGGAGCATTTGGCCTGCGGGGCGCAGGACGTCCTTGGATGGGGGGAAAGCTGTGTCACGGCTGTGGTAGCCTAACACTGCGTCCTTTGGAGCAGTAGAACGAATATAGTATTAGCGTAATGATGCGTTGTCATCTTCTCCCGTAGAAATTGCAGAAGGTAGAATGCTAAGGAAGGGGGCCGGGGGTGGCAGGACACAGTAGGAAAAAGTCACACTACACTGCTTTTACCAGAATCTTTATTTAATTTTGAAGACTCGCAAATTTCAGTTCTGATGCTTTGCCCATTACGAACAGATGATTGTCCTTTCCACGCTTCACAGCATAAAGGGACAGGGAAATTCTGTTTTCTCTTTTTATTTACCGTATATGACAGCAGAGTTTTACCATAACAGTGCTATTTAAGTGGCTCTGCTTGTTAATTTGTTTTGTGCGATTACGAAACTTGCGCTTAACGGTGATCTAGTACTGAGTTCAGTAAGATAATTTAAAAGTCATTCAAATAAACGCTAGTTGGTCAAGAGCCCGTGCTTTCAGTGGACGGTTGACTAACCTGGCAAGTTGCTGTAAATATTTATTGATTATTTAGCTCCATTCTCACTGCTTTACCTCAAATCGTTTTTTCGTGCATTATTTAGTATGTGTATGTATACATCATATGTACAGTATATATATATTTTCAAAGTTCTGTTTAGCTGACCACTTGACTAAAACCTGCAGTTATGTCTTTATTTTGATACTCGTCTCTCTTGTCTAAAATGGAAAGCTTTCAGTCCAATTGTAGTTTGAGTCTTCTTTAATGACTTACCCTGGTTTGAGCCGCCAAGACACGGTTCTTCCATCTCTTACATTGTTTACCTTTTGATCACCCAGGGCAGGTATCACTTTGACTTATTTTCATAAATGTTTATAAAGTAATCCTGAATCATAAGGAAGAAAGTCTCCCTAACTGGATTTGATCACCACATAAAATACATAATCATCATTGTGTATTTAAAATTAAGAAAGACCATTAAGTCGTGTGTGCTGACTAACTGTGGGTTGATTTTTGAAGGCATATCCAAGAATGGCCCACACAAATGCTTGCAGGGGCCGGGGCAGGCAGGGGGAGGGGGTCAGACTGGAGAGCAGACCCAGGCCAAGGGAACAGCCTATAGCTGCCAAGCAGGACACAAGCCTGGTGTTGCCAGATCTTCAAATTCTTTAAGAAAAACTGGTAGTCTAGAGTTTTCAGTGAAATCTTCCTTTTTTTTTTGGTGAGGAAGTTTGTCCCTGAGCTAACATCTGTGCCAATCTTCCTCCGCTTTACATATGGGATGCTGCCACAGCGTGGCTTGATGTGCAGTGTGTAGGTCCATGCCCGGGATCTGAACTCGCAACTCCATGAAACCCAGGCCACCAAAGCAGAGCTCAACCACTCAACCACAATGCCACCCAGCCAGCCCCGAAATCTTCCTATTCTTGAATGTTGGCAACTAGTTCATAGTTTGTCGTTGTGGGCGACAAACCAAACGTGGTGATTGTTGCCAAGTTGATACAGCCTTTGCCCTCTAGAAAGTGGGTAAAATATTTCATAACTTTGTAGTCTGCCTTTTTAGGAGCCAGCCTTACTGTGCTTGTCTTCCTTTCAGCTCTTCACTGTTGCTGTCCGTATAGCCCAGCAATCTTCTTTATCTACTGCAGGTTGTTCCTGGTCCCTCAGTTTCTGTTGTCCAAGAGGCAGCTTTCTGCATTGATGCGGAAGGAATAAATCAACTTCATATTATCACAATCAGTTGTTCAGTGTGTGACGTGAACAACATGAGCCTTCAAAATTTGGGTTCTGTTTACTGGGCTCTGTATGACACGTTCTCAATGAGTAAGCTAAGATGCAGATTCAGAAGACCCCCATCCTGCTTATTGAAGGACATATAAAAGTTGATCAATAATGTTTTCTGCTCTTTGAGAAACAACTATGAAAGAATGCTTCAAGGGTAGAGAAAAAGACTTAGCCATCCTGTGGGAAGTAGAGGAGAACTTGGGAAAGGTTTAGCAAGGTATTTTTTCCTTTGATCATAAGGAAAGAGATTGCTAAACCACTCCCTCCAAAAGGCAGATAATAGATGTGGTGAATAAGTGTTTCAATCACAAGGTGATTCCCAGGAGTTGTTCCAGGCGTATTGTTCCATGTTGTAATTATGACTCAAAAAATAGTTGCTTACCTTCTCAGGAAAGAATACAGTGGAGAAGAACTCTCATAAGGAAGCTTACAAAGTTAAAGGTATTTAAATAATTTCCTGACGATTATTCGTCAAGTTTGCATGTCGAATTCAGCTTTCACAAGACCAATAACCTCTCCAAGCTTTCTTCTTCCTTTTCTATGCTAATAATATTAGCTTTCTCCCATAAAGGACACAAGATTTCTTTATTCGTGCTCTTTCATCCAAGGGGAATGCCTCCTCCCCTGTGCCACTTTGCTTCTTGAAATTCTTATCTACCTTACATAAGGGCTCAACTACAGTCTCAGTAGAAGTCTTCCTCAAATTCTTAGAATTTCTCCCCCTTCCTATAGCACTCTTCTTCTGTCTCTATGAATAGCTCTTATCACCTACTTTGTATTATATGCCTGCTGTACTTGAGAGCAGGGACCTCCTTTTAAGCCTTATTCATCTTTTTATTCCTTAAAACATCTTGGTCAACACAACAAATGAACACGTGTCTGTGGGGAGCACTTTACAAATGTTTATTGAATAGATGATCATTTTTCTTTAATAGGTCAACAGATTTTTAATTCTGGTTCTCTTTTTTACCTTGTGAAAAAATCTCATAACTTTCTGACTTGGATATGTTTGATTACTTAATTTCTGCTATTTTAGTAATAGACCTGCCATTTTAGGGGATCTATTCCTTTCTTCCTGCAGTTGTCGAAGAATTAATCTTGGGACCCTATGCATATGCTTTGTGCTAAAGGAAAATTTCCAGCTTGTGTGATGGGAAAGCGAATTGGGGTTGGCACATGGTTACTCAGATTGCAGAGTGGGAACTTCCTGGAAAGAGAATTAGTCTAACAGGTTTCAAGGAGGGGCCGTTTCTTTATAAGACGAAAGTTTCAGCTTGAACAGTCAACTTCCTTCTTGAGTTTGGTAACTTTGTTTTTTCCCCATTAAGTTGAATGCTCAAAAGAAAACCAAAGGCTTAGAATGTGTTGTCGCTTGACATGTGTCGGGTACCGTGTTGAGGACTTTTCCAGAATTATCTCATTTAATCCTCATAACAACTATGATGTAGGCAGTATTAGTAAGCTCCTTTACACAGCTGATTAGACTGTGCTGAGGATGGTGGCCAAGGTCGCACAGTAACTGGTGGAGCTAGGACTCAAGTCCGGGGCTGGCACCCTCAGAAGCCTGTCCTGACTCCTGCCTTAGGCTCCTGGCTCCCTGGAGTACTGTGAAGGGAAGATGAGAGGCTGGAGAAGGCCACTTACTCACCTCTCACTCCAGTGTCACTTCTGATTATAGTCACAGATGAATCTTCACCAAGAAAAGCATACTTATACATTGGTTTCACAGTCTGTAAAAAATGTTGCCTTGGAATAAGTGATGCTGGTTTTGATGATCTTGTAATTCGGATTCAGCAAGTCCAGGGCAGGGCGCAAGTGTAGTCACCGTGGATAATGGTTGCGTAACCATTTTGTTCCAATAGCTGGTGTCTATGAAGAATGACTAGAATTGTAGTTCCGTGCTTATTTTGGCAGGAAACATTGCCCTGGCCCCAGTTGTCTCATCCTACTTAGAGATCTCGTAAGGCTTAGGGACGAATTTCCGCTTGCTTTGTTTCATTTATTTATTCGACACATATTTATTAAGTACCCATTAGGGGCCAGGGACTAATGAACAGCAAATTTGGTAAAACTAATTTGGCTCATAGCTGGAATGGGGCCACTCTTGTAATAGCTATAGTTGTGATTCTTTTGTGTGTTTTTTTTTTTCCCACAAAGTTGGTTTGTTTTCTTGCCCATCACGTTACGCAAATGGCAAGGACACATTCTCATCAGAGAGCTGTCACCCTCTCGTCCTCTTGTCTGTCACAACCCTAAGAGTTAAGAGCTTTCAATTTTGAGCTCCTTGAGGGGCAGAATGATGTCTTTTCTTTTCCCTCCCCAAAGCCTAACACAGCATGTGGCATGTGGCAGGTGCTTATTATATGGATAGACATCAGCAGAATAGACATTGGCCTACAGAGATGAGATGTGTTGACTAGGATCAAAAGACTAGGAAGGTACACCTTGTGGGGTCTTGGAAAAAGTCGAATTCAGCATTAGATATATGTATATTAGCTGTATTAGATATATGTATATGCTATTTAATACAATTTCACTTTTAAGAAAAATATAATGCCATTTGCTAAGTTTTCTTCTGTGGCTTTTTGGAAGACACCATGACGCCTTTTGTGGTCAAGTTTGCGATGTAACATATTTAGCTAGTATTTTTATTTTAGGTCATTCAGTTTGATATAGTATCATAGTGTTCTAGAGCGGGAGTTCACATTCCTGAAAAATGTCTTATCACATAGTACAGTGTGGCATAAAAGAATAGGCTGGAGGGGAAATCACGTGGGGAGGGGAATGAATGTGCGTGTTTATGA